GATCAAAGCTGTACTTGATGATGAGTAGAATATCGCCGCTCGTTCATCAAAAAAACAAAATTTGCTATGATAATTTGCCCTACCGCCCCACTTTCTGGTAGATTATATATAGTCCATATAGGCTAGCAATGAAACCCAGCTAAGACTTCCACTTTGTTCAGCTGGACTAAGCTCTAATCCTTATTATAGATCTGCCAAGAAATAATATTTTCAAAAAATATATATATACAAATGAAACCAATTGTTGCTTTGCTTTCCAAAAAGTGGGCTGCAAGAGGGACAGACAATGGAGTATATGAAAGAAATTTTGAGGCCTTGTATGCGCGGTCAATTGAAAATGGCACAAAAGAGGAGGACACATTATGGTGATAAGACATTCTCGTCAAGAACGTGAAACCCTAGTATGTAAATCTTGTATTCGTGGGGATATAGCTAAGTGGGTAACCCTAACGCAAGAAAATAGAGCCGATTACTATTAAGCGATGCACTATTCGCGTCATAGCATGTGCGATCGATTTCTTTCCGATTCATCTCGGTGACCAAAACAAAACATCGAATATAAGCTATGATGAGGGCGTGGTGATTTAATGGAAAGACCCTCACCTTCGCATCTATCTAAATCACTCAAAGATTAAAACACGAAAAATCAAATGATGAGTAGAGAGGGAGGTCATTAGCACGGAGAATCGAACACGTGCATGATCAAACTTCCTCGCCTCAATACCGTGTGAAATCGATATTGAATTCACCTAAAATTTCAACGTTTCATATACTCTAATGATTACAACCCCTTGACTTTCATGAGTATGGAAAACGCACGCATTACGACTCTTTCCCGACTTTAATAAATCAGATATTTAACCTAGACAATCCATATCAAGTAGGGAACCAGGATCCGTCACTCCTTTCATTGACTTCTGTCTGAATCCTCCACCCTTTCTAAGAAATAATTTAATATTTAATCTCTGACAGAGAAAGAAACCCTTCTTCCAACGGATGATTAGGGTGAATAAACAAGTTGACTAGTGCGTTTGTATGCTGTGTCACCGAATTAGTCATCCCACCTTAGTGGGTTGACATGAATTTTGACCCTCGTTTGATGCAACATTCCCTTCGGTCATCGTTTGGCCCCCACGCTCATCACCCCCTTCGTTACTAAATGCTACACGCCTGTCGAAGACCTAGGTCGCCGTTGAAAATTTGGAGAGCTGTTCCATCGGTTGTCCCCATCTGCCGGCTTGTTGTTTTGGACAAAAAACGAGAAGAAAGCCCCGTTTCTAGATGGAAATTCTGGGCTCGGTAAAGACTCAAACGCATGTTCTTGTCGCCGTTCCGATTCTATAGGGTTACTGGCTGCTTCTTTCTTCCTTTTTTTAACGTGGACCTCCTCTATTTTGTTCTCTCTGGCAACGTCAAGCAGCCAGTACGATTCCTAGGAACCTATACAAATCAGTAGGGTTGAATTTGCTGCGTGCACTTGTTGGGGTTTCGTCTCTTCCTCTCTTTCTGCATCAGGAATTGGAAGGTGACGCAAACTTCCACTATGCGCCCACGCACACTCCAGATTGCTGTGATAATGTTCTCAAAAAAAAAGGTGTACAATTTGGCTACATAGAAGGGGTTCCTTTCTCTCTATCTCTTTCTCCTCAAACGTCAAGAGTTATGGGCTTCGGAGCTTGCATGTGCAAGGAGTGTGCCAAGCCGGTCAACAATGGAAAGAGATCGTGTACATCTGTAATCCATACGTCGAGGGTACGCGATGATTCATACACAAGAAGACGTGACCTAAAACCAGCATCATCATTGAGTATGTGCGTACACACGCAAATGGTCCAGGGCTTATATTATTTGAAGGTTGAAGAAGAATTTGGGGACGGTGACCCTACGGTATCGTGCCTAGGAGAGATAGTTTAGGGTTTCATCATTGTAGCAAGAACAATGGAAAGAGAAAGGAAGGGGCCTACTTGGATACATATGGCTCTGTTTCCACATTTATCATGATTCACTCTACCTATTTCTAAACGAGAGATATACCTTTAGCTGAGTTTAGTAAAGCTTTACCTTACAAAGTGAAGGCGATAGTCTGACCAAAAAAAAAAAAAAAAAAGTGAAGGCGATAAGATTTTGTGTATCTGGTGATTGTCAGCCACTGTTCCTGTTCTGTCCAACAGAAATAAAACTAAGCTACTTTGTCTAATAGGATTCATCTATCTTTAACTGCAATTGGCTTTGCTTTATCGCGCCATCGTGCGAGATGTTTTCTCCTTGATTGATCTGGTGATTTCTAGCTTAATGGCGGCATGAATCCTAGACCGAAGATATGATCTTGCTTCCGTTTCGTGATCGAGTCTTGGTTGAGCCGGGGGAAGTAGAGGAAAAATTTTGCATAACTTGATGATTTGGACCCAATACAAGGAAAAAAAAATGAAATTGAGCACTCTTTCTTTAATATTTATTGTATATGATAAAGGAGAAATTGTGGTAATAGTTAACCCTGACTGAATGGCTACTTTGATCTAATTCTTTTCTTTCGACAAGTTAGATTTTTTTATGGCACAAAAAAAGATGAGCAACCTGTTACAAGCTCAAGCTAATGAGATCAGTTCCTAATCAATTGTTGAAAAGTCTCTAATCAATTGGGAGATTAGATAAAAAGAAGAAGAGAGTATCTTTTGAATCTTAACTCTCGGTGGCTCTTTGCTTTTAGGAATTAGAATTCATTCTTGACATATGGGTTCATTATTGATTTTCGTTTCTTGAGGTTTTGAAAGGAGACGAAAACTTAAGATGTAAACTTTTTTGAAGATTTGGCGCTGAAAACATACCTGACTTTGATAGACGACGCAGTTGAATCATATGATTCAAGTCCGGGATCAAATAATTAGAGCTAGGAGATAGAGAATGATCACCCATCAGTAGCCGGGCAACAAAATCAAAAATTGGGTGTTTAGAATTGCGACACGACACAATTTCGATCTAACAAATGCTCTCTTAAGGAAAAACAAAGGGCGACCTTAAGAAAGATTGAAGGATGCAATGCTTGATGGGAACTTTAGGAAGATGGTGGAAATAAGAGGAAGTCGAACATATCATTTTCTGGGCTTGGGCTTGAAATGATGTCAAGATGGGCAGCTCTACTCAGATCTTGTTGTTGGGCCCAAAAGAAGCTCTCGTTATTCAGGTGCAATTTGCTTGACGATACGGTACACGAACCGGTCATCCATCTGACCAATTTTGGCCGGTCGGCTCTAACGGGGCACAACCGGCACTGATGTGGCATGGCCTACGCTGACGTGACACGACCAGCACTCACGTAGATAATTTTCAATAATATTTTTATATTTTTCGAGTTTTTTTTATTATTTCTTTTCTTTCTCCTGCTTTTTTTTCCTTCCTTCTCCAACTGGTCGGTCGTCGAACCGAGGCGACCGGCTAGAGGCAAGGGCCAGCGAGACCGACCTCGCCAGCCACTGGCGAGATCGACCTTGCCGGCCCTTGGCGAGGCGAGCCTCGTCGTCGCTGGGTGAGGGGGAGGTTGACCTCGCCTACCCTTGGCTAGGCTTAACCTCACGACGAGGTTGACCTCACCGTTGTTGGGCAAGGGTGAGACTCACCAATGCCTAGGCAAGGTCGTCAAGAAGAAGGAAGGAAAAAAAAAAGAGAAAGAAAAGAAAAAAAAGAAAAAAATATTAAAATATTATTAAAATTTGCCCACGTCAGTGCAGGCCGTGCCACATCAGTGCCAGTTGGCTAAAATTAGTCAGATGGACTAAATCGACACAAATGCAAAGGTTTAAGACTCAATTGGAAAAAAAAAAGAAAAGGTTTAGGATTGAATTGCACAATTGCAATAGGTTTATGATATTTTTGGTAATTTTTTTTTTAAATACGAGATCAATTTATCTTGAATAGAACATGCCGGGCCAAATCTACTTTAGGCTACTTGATTTAGATAGGGAAAATCGCACGGTTTTCTGAAATCGTTAAGCATCAGAACATCTATTAGATAATTTTTTTTTTGAATTTAATGGAAAGTGGAGTACCCGTATATATAAAATGAAAGTCTAGAACCGCTTTGCATGAAGATGCAAAATCATGGGCCCTTCGTTTTTCAAACCGGCAACTTCACATTCCTCATTGAATAGAGAAGCACTAAAATGGTTTCGTTTAATGCAATCTTCAGTTGACTTATCAACTCATCATCATCAATGACCAAAACCTTTTTTACAACTGAAATAACCAAAACATATCTACTATAAAATTACAAAAATCTTAATTAATTAAGCATCTTTAATGCGCAAAACTCACTCACTTATACATGTACGTATATGGAAGATTATAAATTACAAGTTATAGATGTGCTTATACTTAGACCATTTTCATTACTCTTATTTTAATAAATGATGGAAACATTATACCTTGATAAAGGGAAAAATATTCTTAATTGGCGAGTTTAAATTTATTAACTTCTATATCAAATTACATCCAAAAATTGATGAGTAAGGCAAATTGACAATTGATGTATCGTTCTAAAAGCATTATATTAAATTCAATAAGATGATTGACATCCTTTCCTAATTAATGTAAAGAGACGTGTCTAATTCAAATCAAGAGAAGTGGGAAAGAACGGAGTTTTCTGATGATGTGGCTCAACCACCAAGTTTCATTCTACTCGATTTTCTTTTTACATATCGATTTAAAATGTTGAGGATTTTGAAATCTAACTCTTTGTTATCTTCTTTGGATGCACACGCGCTTCCATGTTGTGGCCGCAGAGAGAAGGGGATAAAATTTACGAGAGAATTTATTGATCACGATCAATAATCGGTAATTACAATTTAAAGAAAATATTTCGGGCCAATGGAAAAATCTTAGCTCGAGAATTATCCTAAAATGCAGCGAAGAACACGAATCTAGAATTTAATAAAACAAATCAGTTTTTTATTTTGTTTCCGTCGCAGGGATCAAGCTCCTTGGTCAAGGTCGAGGTCAAGAAATAATACGGGCTCAAGCGACGGCGCAAAACTGCGGCGATGGATCTGCTGCGCAGCGCTTACTCCAATTCCTCCGACGAAGAACCCGAACCCGCACCCGTACCCGCACCCGCACCATCCTTCCACCCTCCTCCTCCGAAGCGACCCAGACCCGAAAGCCACACGACCTCCATCCCCGAACCCAGTCGCTCACATCCTCCTCCGACCGGAGCTCCTGTCCACGGCAGATATGTATCCAAAAGGGAGCGAGCCCTCCTGGGTCTGGGCTCGCCACCCACTATGGTCCTTGACCCAGAAAGCACCGACCCTTCAGCTTCAACTTCTGCCGCTGGTAAACGTCACAACTCTGTCTCGAGCGTTTCATTTTCCCCTGTTCTTTGGTTATGTTTTCGTGATAGTCTCTGTGTCTGGTTGAGAATGCTTGGGGACGACGTCTTTCTTTCGAGTTATTGCCAGTCGTTTTAGTTGTTTAAACACGGGGAATGATGGCTGGATTGTTGGGTGATTGGATAATTCCCATGTCAGGTGATTTAATGAGCAAAACCCGGGTTCGGTGGCAGAGACTGCCCTGCATTGTCGAGCTATCGAAAATTCCCATTTGAAAGATGAGTTTTTTGGTAGAAGGCTTAGGCTCACGTGTCATGCCATGAAACTATGGCAAAGAGTAATTGAGCATAAGTTAAAACTTAAAAGGAAGAGACTCATTGTTGCTGAGAGTCAATTTGGTTTCATAGCTGTCAAAGTCCTATTTATTTATCAGGATTAAGTTAGGAGATACGGTAAATTCTAGATTCGGAGAGAGCGTGCTACGGACTTCTTGGAGATGTTTGTAGAGGACTGTGGATAAGAAAGGCATACGAGCTACACATATCCGAGAAATAGAGGAAATCTTTAAATGCTTTCGCACAGAACATGCTTGGCAAACTTGACATACTGTTCATTTTGATGGATCGCTAATTTTACAAAGTTAAGCGATGGACTAAATTGCCTGAGACAATTTTTTAACCTTAATGTGCATTTTATGTGTGGATTTTTGGAATTTACTCCCCTTGAATGGCAACATGGAGAATTGAGATGAATGTAAATCAATTCTTGATGTATTGTTCTTTCTTTGGCAGTAATTCCGCATCATATCTGCATACAAGAATATCACTTTCTGAGCCCAATTCATTGGGATTTCCCTATTGGGCCAGGTCACACTAATCAGTAAGATTAATGAAGTAGCAATTAATGCAAAGTGGATCGATTAAGTGACCAAACTCTAATTGTTTAACCCGATGTGCAACCTGATGTTGCATCTCCAGCTTGTGTGAATCATATCTATTTCTCTGATGGAAACATGAGATCCTGACATTATGCTTTTCTGCCATTAGTTTCATGTATGGGAAGCTTATTGGATTCAGACCTACCGTCTGATGTTCTATCATTGTTGAGGCATCAAACGAAAGGTCGTGGGCGTCTTGGTCAAATACAAGAAAGGCTATCCGTAGCTCTAAAGGGTCATACAAAGGCTGTCAACACAATCCAATGGTCAGAAAGTCATGGTAAGATCTGGTTATGTCGGTGTTTCTGCCTCGCGTGCTTCTATTGTGGTTTCTACCTGTCCTTTGCTTTGTTGCTTCAATCATTACATAGTAGGATTCAATCTTTGTTATTTCTCAAGAAGATGGTTGGTCTGACACTATGATATTTTGAGCTTACTTCGGGATGCACTTATCAATGAATCGTCATGCTTCACGAGCTGACTTTTGGGCACACGTTACCTGAACTCAATCCCAGAAGCATCTTCAATTGTGACACCTTCAGCCACAGCTTGGACATGAATCAAAAAATAGGAAACTTCTGATTTGCTTATCCCATTTTATCCACTATTTTCTTGAGCTGTTGTGTTAGCAACTCCAAGGATCAGGTGTTGGACCTGCAATAGAAACTTAGAATGAGCATGTGAATAGAGTGAAGAATAGAATGCAATTGTGGAAATTTGGTTCTCTGATGAAAACCTTATCCTTGTTTTTTCTTGACATTCCTTATGATTAACTGTCATTTCATATCTGGGACAATTGATTCGTGTTTAAATTTCCGTGCGCATAGACCAAATTAGAGGGAATTTGCAAATGCAAGATCCATGCGGTGCTTGTTGGCACACAATAAATAACTTTTTTTCAAGAGACCTGCTTTGCCCTACTATAAAAGTCTGTCATGACTTTTGCATGATCAAATATTTGTTAGTTCATTTTAAGGTCGATGCATGAGTTTGAGTTTGCAGTAACTTGCGTTCTTAGGTGGTCTCAATATGTAAAAACCAAATGCGAAACACCCACATATTGATGGGGCCTCTCACATCATTTGTATGCACAAGATAATTCATTCATTCCTGTTTTGTTTTGCCTCCATTTTTATGATGGTAATTGCTTTGTACTCATGATCTCCCAATTAATCTGTTTACTAGAATGAGTTTACAGCTCATCTTCTTGCATCGGCTGGCATGGATCATAAGGTCTTCATATGGAACGTGTGGAGTAAAAATCACAAGACAGCACGCATTCTGAGCCACCACAATGCCGCAGTGAAGGATGTGAAGTGGTCAAAGCTTGGTTGGCATGTACTTTCTTGTGGATATGACCGCACGTCAAGGTTGGTTGATATTGAAAAGGGGATAGAGACTCAGGTATTCAAGGAGGACCAAGTCATCAATGTTGTGAAATTCCACCCAGACAACTTCAACCTTTTCCTTTCGGGAGGAGCAAAAGGCCAGCTCAGGTTATGGGATGTCAGAACTGGCAGAGCAGCACATCAGTATATACGTCAACTTGGTCCGATCCTTGATTTGGAGTTTTCCCTAGATGGCAAGCAATTCATCTCTTCCAGTGATGTCTCCTTTAGCAATATCAGTGAAAATGCAATAATAGTTTGGGATGTTTCTCGGCAGGTTCCTCTTTCCAATCAGGTCAGCATTCACTAATTATGACTGATTTGCTATAGTTGTTTCAGTCTCTTTTAGAGAGCAAGTCTTATTTTTATATGCAAGTTGCTTGTAAAGTTCTCGTAAGTTTGGGCTTATGAATAGCTATGCGCATTTAGTGAGTATTGATAGTGTTTAATTTAATCAACTGCAAGCCAGAGCAGAGCATGCTGAAGATTGTTGTCAAGAATCAAACCTGAAACTTGTCTTTTGGCACGGGGATACGATCATTTACGTACATGGCAAGCTAGATTTGTTGTCACTTATACTTTAAATGATGAATATTGCAGATTAGAAAACCAGACTATGAATTTTTTTCCATACCAAAATAATATAGTTCTATTATTTTGGGCTAATGATAATATTTCAATAGAATGATACTAAACGTGCTTAGATTCTTCTACTATGTTTGCTTACTAAGTGACGTGTCAAATTCATGTTGGATGCTTAAATGGGCCCACTAACTTAAATGGCCACTACAGAGTGTCTATATTACTTAGTACACCCATTTGGTAAATGATTCTTAGTATCCCGAGCATTGCCCAATGCAACATTATTTCTGATAGATGTGACCTCATTATATCCATTAAATTAGACTGGTTAAGGGGACTCTGCATCATAATCATCATGCAGTCCTTTGCCACAAGTCAATAAGTTTGTTAAAGAACTCAGTTTCTCATGGTCTCTCTGCTAGTTGTAGAGAAATCTATCTAGAGCTTTTGTACTTTATGTCCCCAGAAGTCTCTTTCCTTAACTCAAGTTCTTGGAGTCACATAGACAATATTTTAGGTCTACCGAAGTAGATGTTTTACGTTTTCCACAACCAACATAATAGACCTGTCAAACGGGTGAGTTGGGTAAAAAATGGTTGGACCCTTTTTGACCAATTTAACCCGTTTTGACCCATTTTCATGCAATACAAATCTAGTGATCCATTCCCGACTCAACCCATAGTGCTAAAACACTTCTATATTTAACTCAATCTAAGAAAATTCATATCCAAACTAAAGTGAGAGCGGTAGGGGTGATTGGTTCTTGGGTGGTCCGGTTCCCACTCAAAATCTAGGAACCGGTCCAGTCTGGTTGTCGGGTGGGCCAATGGAACCAGTGGCATATTTAGTTTTTTTTTTTTTTTTTTGATTTGTCATTAATGTTCAAGATGAATTGAAGATGTTCTTAATAATCAAGTCATTTCTACAATCAGTGAGATACGTGTAACATTATAGGTTTCACAGATATTTTTCCAATCTGTGGCAAAATTTGATTGGAATGAGCAACTATTGTTGTGTTTTAATTTGTTCTTGTCATCTTATTCACTTGCATAAGTAAACATAGTCATTCTAGCCTTGAAGGGCCTTCCTTTGTGAAATGGGAGATAGATTTGGGTTTTTCTTTATAGTGTTTTAACAAATTAAAAAAAATTAAAAAAAGGCCCGAAACACCGGATGCTCCGGGTGGACGGTTCCACACTTGGAATTGGGAACCGAACCGAAATTCACCGGTTCCAATTTTATGGAATCGGAAAACAGACCAGTGCCCCCCGGGAACTACCCAGAACCGGCCGGACTAGTCTAGGCAGTTCCTTTTGCTCACCCCTAGAGAGTGCGGAGTAAGCGAACGCGAGATCAAGTGAAGAGAAAGTCGTAGAGGTGGGTTGGGTCTGAGTAAATTATGAACCTATTTAACACCCATATAAGGCTTTACCATTCTAAATCCATTTATGACCAATTTACTAAATATAACTATCCCATAAAACATCTCACCCCATCAAATATGGGTTAACAAATGGGTTTATGACCCATTTTGACAGGTCTACAACATAATCACCAACCCATTCTTATGCTGGTCCCACTTGGCTCCTGGTCCTAAAGTACCTACAACATTTGCTCCAGGACCTAATACTTGCTTGCTCATGTGTTGAAGCCCTAAGTTTTTTCCCCCTTTAATAAGCATAGGTGTATGCATAAAAGAAGCAGGTGGAGTATAGGTCTAAGGAAAGTAATTACAACCAAGCAAAGAAGAGGGAAATAATAGGAAGGAAAAAAGTGAAAACTCTTACAAAGTTTACGGTCTGGTCAATCCTGAGTCCACCTACCGGTCTTTGATGAAAAAGGACTGGACAGATTTGTATGTGGAATTGATTTGAGGGATTTTCACAATCAACTAGAGTGTTGATTTATAACCTATGTTCTAATTAGGAAGAAAGGTTTATCATGCCAACATTAGAAGATGGCCTAAAAACTGCAATTGCTTTTTACCTAAAAAAATATTCTGGTAATCTCATGCTTGAAGTATTAGCTACATGTTACCTTAACCGATAATATTATTGGTTTAAATGGTGGATCTTATTGACAATAGTTCTACAAATTTCTTTATGCATATCTACTTATCTAATACGGTCAATCCCTGTGTCTCTCTCTCAGATTTATGGAGAGGCCTATACCTGCACCTGTATTAGGCATCATCCAACTGAGCCTTGTTTTGTTGCCCAGTCAAATGGGAATTATATTGCCCTTTTCTCTTCAAACCCCCCTTTCCGGCTTGACAAATATAAAAGGTACGAGGGTCATGGAGTCTCTGGGTTTCCCATTAAGTGCAACTTCAGCTTAGACGGGGAAATGCTTGCAACGGGCTCCTCAGAAGGTTCCGTATACTTTTACAAGTATGGGTCATCCGAGCTACTCCGGAAAACTAAGGTGTACACATCACCATGTGTGGATGTGGCTTTCCACCCTAATATGCCGAATTTTATTGCAGTATGCAGTTGGGCTGGAGATATATCGGTGTTCAAGTAGCTTGCTGTAATCGAGACTCACACAAGCTCATGGACAATGTTTTTTTTTTCCCATTTTCAGCAGTAAAAAGTGGAGTACCGCTATACTAACCACTTGTGATTGCTAACAGACGTGCGAGACTATCAATTTTGGTTTTTCCCTCATTTATCATGTAATTCTCAACTTCTAATCCGGTTGCTCCTTGGAATTCTTGAAATTTGTGGGAAGTTGTTTGTTTTCTCTCTTAAGGAACTATTATGATGACTTGCTTGTTTTTGTGGCCTTTCCAAATTTAAGAAGCATAATGTGGGGTACAGTTGTGAGGTTTGCCTCGTATGGATCTGATATGATATGATCTGAGATTATGTGGACTACAGTTGTGAGGTTTGCCCCATTTGGATCTGACATGATATGATACGAGATGGGAGGCAAAATGACTAATGAGTTGCTATCTGAATATAGTCAAGTTGCACCCATAATATGTTGGGGATCAATAGTGGAGATGAACTATCTATGTCAAGGGTCACCTTTTTCATATGATAGACTGTAAATCCATTTTATCACTCTCTTAGAATAATTGCATCCACCGAAAGTGGAGATCAAATGGCAGAATCAAATTGAGGTTTTACCCGTGTAGGTGTACCAGTTTTATGTTAAGTGATTTTCTGGATATTCGAACCGGAGTAATTGGACTTGGTGTTGGACTGCTGCTGTTCAAGAATTTTCAAGTTTGTGGAAGGCAAAGATAGGAAAATCTCATCTGGTGCAGGGCCTGGCCCAAGATGAAGGTCTCTGATTCTGGTCAGTGGGCTTTAATATCCCTCACCTTGCTTGTTAAATGGGTGTTTCACACACAGACAGAGCTAGTGATCCTGTTCTCTGACCCAAATTTTCATGCAAGAGCCCCATGCAGAAAAAGTCATGCTTGGCAATTTTCTTTAAACCCACATCACAAGAACTGGAGGTAAAGGAATTGAATAACTGGAAAGACCAAGCGAAGTGATGGAATAATGTGGAGACTCTTCATTCCATAATGGACACCATGAGAATGGTCTACGCGAGCTGAAAACAAAGAGGACTTCAAGTAATATGGACTGTGGAAAGGTTCACTTCCGCAAGCCTATCTAATCAGATGAAACTAGACAATAGCATGCACATGCCATTGCCATCTATGTGACATAAATAGGCCTAACCCTATGTTTCTGCGAAAGTTTATCGTCTTCCCCCTCGCATCTCGTAAATTCGAGGTAGTGTCACTTTCTTTTTCCTTGTAAACATATAGGAGACATGGAAAAAGAAGAAAGAGAGCATCCTAAAGGTTCAAATAATGGAAATAACATGTCTTCTAAAGGCAGGTACTCCTCCTAACTCGTACCTACCATAACAAGACACATGTAGGACTCACTGAGGAGCCTTGAGGTGGGGCAAAAGGGGGGGAAAAATAACCAAAGGGAGCATGAACTGAGTTAATCCCACTTACCTTTCATGAGAATGAAGGCAAGGCAAGGAGAGGGGGGCCATAAAAGAGAAGAATTCAAAGCAAGACATAATCATGAATTTCCCTTTCCCTTCTTCATGGAGGTCGATTTCAAATTGTATTAGGAGACATGATACACCACCTTAAGAAAAAACGAAAGCCATGTTGCATTTAGTTGCATTTTGTCATTGGGACCAAGTCTCTTCACTGAATCAATGACCCCCCCTATCTTTCAGCACCACTTTACCAGCAAGAACAAGGCCAGTCAAAGAAATCGAATTATTCCAAAGGAAAATTAGACATAGATTAATAAAAAAGTGATTATATTTCCATCTTGCAATAGCACTATCTAGACAAGCTAGCAATTATCAGCAACAATCATGGGTCCACAATGCCCCTCTTAAAGCTATTTTCATTGGATAACAGTATTATCCCTACTCTATTTAAAGCAAGAAACACTGTTATAATACCTATGTGCCTATTGTAAATTTTCTTTCTCTTTTCAACTTTGACATAAATCTGTTCCCCACCTTAGCTGGTCTCAAACATCCCTTTCCAAAAACTCACTGAATCTAAACCTCTTATCTCTTTGTCACCCCATTTGTTAAATGCTCACATACAATTTCTTTTCAAGAACACATGGAAAGCTATCAAAAGCAAAGAAAGAGAAACATAAAAAAGTTAAGCTCTCTCTCTCTCTCTCTCTCTCTCTCTCTCTCTCTCTCTAAGTATACCCCTTGTTCCTCTCTCCATATGACTTCAATCATCAGCTAAAAGAGAGATATATAGACACTTGTTATGTTGGCTACTTCTTGTGGTCAAGCGGGTGTTGGTGAGTTAGTGACCCACTTACACAGGCCGAAGGGGACATGAAAAGATGGGTCTTAAAGTGCTAACCTATGCAAATCAAGTCAACGAGGATTGGTCATGAACTCCACGCCCTAGATCAACCCCACTCGATGCAGAAAATTTGGTTTCTTCTCGATTAATATGAATGAACATTCATTATTAAATAGAAGTTCAAAGGGACAACACACAAACCAACTTAAGGGAATCTGAATTTATGCCCGTGGAAACCCACCGTTTGTGGGTATTGGGCTCATATTCTGAATATTATCTCTGTTCCTCTTCCTTTTCTATCCATCTTGTCATCTTTTCCTTTTCCTTGCATCAAATGTCATCTCCAATTCAACGTACTTGTGATACATAATTGCATATACATGTTTATCTTCATCTACATGCTCGACCATATTCAATTTCTGTGCCTCAACACAGAACACATCTCTCAATCCTGGCCTTGAAAAGTGACCCGACAAGCTCATTTTTATTGGTACTGCCACGTGATTTATGGCCAACACGAAAGGGCCATCCATTTGGGTTCGTCATTAAATTCTATGTTTTCCCCTCTTTTTTCTCTACAGTCATCAAGAACCATTGTTTAGGCATGGAATGATACAGTTTAGAACTGTTTGCTTCTCCCATTTTAGGAAGCATTTCCTTATAAGGAATCCAAAATGGGCCATGTAGGCAATCGGCACTCCATATGTAGGCATTTGGCACTCCTATATTGTTTAATGCGAAGTCGTACATAAATCATGTTGTAGCTCGCTATAAACCTGACACAGATGATTATTAACCTAGGCTTAGTTTTGTTCGTAATGATGTTGCTCGGTACAGACACATTTGGCAACATGTTTGATTATTGTCACTAGTTGAAGACAACATCTAGAAGAAGGAAGCTGAGTCCAGCTTCTCTTTTTTCTTTTTGGCAATTTAAATTGGGATTCTGATTGTGATAAGTCATGGTTAATAAGACAAATATGATTTTAGCTTGTCAACGCGAACTATCGTTTGGAGAAATTACCAAAAAAGTCCAAAACCTTCGCGACCCTCGCCCATTGGCTAACGAGGGTTGGCTGCCCTCGCCTATGACTGGCAACCCTCGCCGGGCTTGGAAGAAAAAAAAAAGGAAAAGAAAGAAAGAAAAAAGAAGAAGAAGAAACAAATAAAAAATAAAAAAAATTGTCTATGTCAGTACCAACTGTTCTACATGATGCGGCCGGCGCCCACGTCAGTGATTTCCGGGTAAAATTGGCTAGATGGACTCAATTGGCAAAATGTGAATTGATTTAAGACTTGATTAGCACAATTAAAAAGTTTCATATTGACTTGGCATTGCAATAGATTTAAAACTTTCTTGGAAATTTCCCTGCTATCGTTTCCAAATACGGTATTCTTGTGCTATGGCATTTCATAATTCTGAGCATTTAGGAAATTAATGATTATATGTGGCTTCAGAAAAACAACAATTTTTAGTTTTCTCATGGGGCATGCTAAAGACTTTCTTATACTATGAATGATTTGTTAGGTCATATTACAAGAACTCATCTAATGATGGGGAAATATATAAAGTTCTCATTTATATATTCTTGTTTTCTTTTCAAGTAGCCATTAACTCCACGTAAAATTCCATTAACTAGGGCGAAAATAAAGCTACAATATACATTGACACATACATACATCACATATTATCTGTACATAAATGATCTCGAACTTAGTTTTGGTTAGACAATATGGTTTCTAATATATTTTTGGATAAGCAAACAATCCAAAGTAATTATTTGGAGGTGGACTTTTGTCCACCAAAATAAAATATCCATTTACGAGTCTTCGCCTATAGCAGGTAGATAAGTATAGAAGAAAGATGCTTGAAACCTTTAGGAAACATATGGGATTTTGTCAACAGCATTTACACACCCTGGTCACATCCACCATGAATGCACCCGATATCAACTTATATAGCTCTTCATCAATTTGTCATGATCTGATGCGGCACGAAAACGACGTCATGCCAGCACGCGTAATTTTGTATGGATTGACTTTGGGGTCCCGATCAGATCACATGCAAAAACCTAAGGGTTCTTAAATCTTGTTGTTTCTACACTAGTGACCATACTGTTGAAGGAAACATTATCTACTTTTCCAACACACTGTAAAAGATAAAGCCGGATAATTTTTGTTGGGTTTGGATTGCGATCTTGGAATACGACACAATAATGAGGAAACTCGAATCGTTAGTCGTCGGCACATAGATAGATACATGTAACTTCTCTAGCTTCTTCCACAAGATGTACAGAATTGACTTTCATAAATATTGTCGAGAGCATGAACAGAGTCCCTAGGTCACGCACGAGAGAGAGAGAGAGAGAGAGAGAGAGAGAGAGAGTGCTAGTTAAACCAGTAGGACAGAGACCCAAGAACAGCAAGCTCCATCACAAGACATGAGACGAAGAAGAAGAAAAGGAGAATTATAATGGCCGTGAAAGCGTCGGACGCGGGTGAGATCGCTATCCATGAAAGTTGAGAGGATGGAGGAAAAGGAGAGAAAGCCACCTCCAAAAGGCCAAAGTTAACGGAAACATCCACATCTGCCACATATTTTTGAGGGATGTTTTGGGGGACAAGTTCTTACATATTGTAGATTGATGATGGAACTAATCGGAAAATCGTGGGGGAGACATGTACCTCTTAGTGGCGCGCGGTGCTCGTTGAAAACGTCTCAATAGGGGCATCCAATTATTTATGATGTTAGTTTAGGATAGAATATTATAAAGTGTTTAGCTTGATAAATCAGTCATATCCAGCTCCAACTATAGTTTGTCGAGTAGTTTTTCTAACCATTGTCTTTTGCATCCCTAGCATTACCATC